AGCCCCCACTCCCAGGGCCGACGGGGAGTTCGACAGGACCTTCCCCCTTACCCTCCGCGCGCATTATCTCCCGCTCCACCCAGCTTCCGTGAGGCCCGTCACTCAACTCAGTTCTTTACAATCTGAGGGCTCACAAGTGGCCTCACTGCCCTACGGTTGGGGTTTGCCCTTCTCTGGTTACCAAGGAAGGTCTACATCTCCCTTCCCACCACTCCAAGGCCTTGGCATTGACTTTGGCCTTTTCTGCCTTTTTTCTCCTGTTCTCTGTAGCTGTATATTTGCTTCCTAATAATTTCTCTTTATTTCCTTTTTAAAAATCAACATGCCTCAGAAACCTGAAAATTATGAAAGTTCATTTTTAAAAGACATGCTTCATCCTGGGGAAGTTAAAAAACCATCATTGTTTCTGTTCTCTTGCACCACACAGAAAATATTTTTTGTGGGCTGCACTCCAGTTTTAGAATATTCTACCTTGTTTCAGAATTTTATGGGCTAAAAAAGGGGGAAATCTTCCTGAACACAGTTGGTGTTTTGAAAATGCTCTGTGAAGTAAATCTTCAAGAAGAAGTCTGTCAAATTGTTGCCGAAAAATTGGCCCCCGTCCCTGACAAGCCAAATAACTCAGAGACAGGGTCTTGGAGCTTAGAAGAAAAGAGGCAGCTTTATTGCTTTGCTGGGCAAAGGGGACTCACAGCAGGCTAGTGCCTTTAAAACTGTGAACCTATCTTGGGGATGAGGTGGGGTGGTTATACAGCCATAGCTTAAACTATAAAGCATGGATAACAATCAACAGAATTATTTTCTTCTCATAAGACTCTGAGTGGCATCATGCTGTCTCCGGGTGACCAAGTCTGAACAGGCTAGTGGTTGTCGCTCTTTCCATCTCTTTATCTTATGAGCGCCCAAGGCGTGGTCTTCTTGGTAATTCAGGCTATTTTGTAAGGTTACAGTCCCGTGAACTTCTCCCTGGAGAACGACTCAGAGACCAAGTATGATTATAACTTTTGATTACTGAAATAAAGCAGAAACAGTAAGATCAATAGCTTTAGTTTTAACAATGGGCCTGGAGCTGTGAGAAATAACTGGCCAGTCAGTTTTGTTGACCTTTTAAAGGCAAGCATAAGAATAAGCAATCTGTTAGCCTAAGTGTAGCCATTTTATTAATTCTCCTTCAAAATCTCGGCCATTTTATGTAAATAATCCACGTTTTTTCTTTCTGGGACAAATTCCAAGGTTTATTGAAAAACATTTCTATTCTATTCTATTATAATAAACATTAAATATGGAAAAGCATTTGCTGGCAACTGAAGTCATCTGCTGAAATTTAATGGCTATTACTAATGATGGTTTTGGAGACCTAAGCCAAGGGAAGAGCTTTGAGACTGAGGCAGGCTGAGGGATGCTGAGATAGTCAGATCACCTTTGCCCTGTCAAGGGGTTGGAAAGGTGCTGGTCTTCCTGCTGCCACACTCCAGATTCTCTCATTTCCTGCCTTCAGGCTCCTGACTGTTATTTACCCCAAAAATATAGATGGACAGGTAACTGAGATCATGACCTGAGTAAATTCCCTTGGTTCTGACCCTCCATTTCTTCCCCAAAGTCCTACCTAGTGACTCACCTCCCAGATAGGTGGGGGGGGTGTTGTTCTCATACTGGACACCAGATGGGGCTCTTCTACACCTCTGTGGTGAGGAATCCCAAGAATTCTAGAGAAGTAATTGCTGTGGGGAGAGACTCCCAAGTCAGCCTGCTCTTTCCTTTTTTTCAACCCTGTCCACATAGAAGCCTCCCTGGAAACTTCTGCTATCTCTCACCTGGCTTAGGAAGTGCAGAGAGCTGGGATCTTCACCCTAACCTCCTTACCTCCAGGGCACTCAGGAAGAACCCAGCCTTGCTGTAGGGTCACTGTCTGCCAGTCCATAGCCACCCTGATATTGCTCACTTATGCCAGGGTCCAAGGAACATTCTCTGCTGACCATCCTGAGTAACCTTAGATTAGGAATTCAAGCATGGAAGTCTGTGGAACACCTTAAATGTTATTCATAATTATCTGTATGTGTGTTTTGGGGGTGGTAATATATTCATATTTTTTGTGGGAAGAGAGGCCATACTTCTTAGCAGATTCTCAAAAGAGGCTGTGATTCTGTCCCTCTCAAAAAGCTTTTAAGTTTCTATATAAGCTGTCTCCCTATCTCTAGTCATTTATTCTCACCTTAGACCTGCTTCTTTCCCCCTTTGTTTTCTGTCTTAGTGTCGACCCATTGGCCAACCCAGGACTTGACCATAATCCTTGAATCCCTCTTCATGGTCTCTCATATTCAATTAATAACCAAATCTGGTTAAGACTCTATTTATGTCTTTTTAAAACAGCATCATGGCGCTATAATCCACATACCACAAGATTTGCCCATTTAAAGCATACACTTCAATGATTTTTACTATATTCACAGATACATACAACCATCTCCACAGTCAATTTTGGGACATTTTCATCACCTCAAAAAGAAACTCAAAAAGTACTCTTTAGCTGTCACTCCCCTATCCTCCCATCCTCTCCAGGCCAAAGCAACCGAACATAGTACCTATCTCTAAATTTCCCCGTTCTGGACATTTCGTATATATGAAACATATAATATGTGTTCTTTTGGGACTGGCTTCTTGGTTAGCCTAATGTTTTCAAAGTTCATGGCAACAATAGGATTAATCATTTGAGGAACTGCCAAACTGTTTTCCAAAATGGTTGACCATTTTACATTCCTACCCACAATGTGTGAGAGTTCTGAATTCACCATATCCTCACCATTTGTTATTATCTGAAATTTTGAGTCTACTCATATTAGTAGGCATGAATTGTTGGCTCAAAAAAACAATCGACAAGGTAAGAGTTCTGAGTTCAGTTTTATTTGGGAATTTACTGATAGCCCAGGCAGAAGGTTGCTGCTATTCACAAGGAACAGATGTCTCTGTTAAATGTTTTAAGTGCTTTTAAGTGCTTTTCTAGGTATGAGAAGATGCAAGAAATTGAGTTCATAAATTTTTCTCCTGAAAATATCTAATTATCTGAAGGACTGTTCTACCAATTTTCCCAGAGCACAGAGTACCTTATTCCTGAACTCCTTTCAGTGTGTATTAAAGGTCAGTGACTGCAGTGGCTAAGTGACTTCATTCTTGTAGAACTAGATGGTGAGTGACATTTTTTTGCTGTCAGTTGGCCCCACTCCCAACTGCTCCATGGTCATAAATTCAACCATGGTTTGGGAGACATTTCATGACCATTTTGTCTCACTGTGTTAGGAATGCTTATTCCTAGGTCAGGCCAGGATTTCATTGATAGGCCACTCGATGGGCTATTACTGGACTAGGCCCTATTAACAGTAACCAAAAGCCTCTGGACCACCTGTCTTACTAGTCTGTTATGGTCCATGAAATGATTCCCTCTTGTTGCTTCTTCCCATATCTAGGGTTACACTATTACAATCATTGCTCTTATAGAACTATATATTTGGTCAACAGTTTCAAGTCACCTAGTCATCATTTTATCAGAGACACAGTCACACATTCAGTAATGTGAGAAACAATAATCTTGTAAAATAGGCAGAATACAAGTAATATAGCTAGTAACATCAATAAGGTCATAAGTGTTTAAGCTAAGAACTTCCCTTAAGTATGGTCCAGTATCTCCCCACACATCTCAATAGAAGGTTGCTGCTTGTCAAGATGAATAGACATCTTAGTTTTCTGACTAGTCTGTTCTGCACCAATCACTATCTTTAAAGGAGATGATATATTTGCATATTGTACATAAGTACATTTGCATATTATGCATAAAGTTCACCAAAAACATCTGTACATACAAGGTGAGAGGGGGGTCATAGTGATCCCTTACAGGATTGAGAAAGGAATGTTATCTTCTAAGGAGTTACATGGCTGGCACCAGAAGAAAAATTGATCTTTATGGTTGAGCATATTTCTGCCACTGAGGAGGTTTGGTTAACACATAAAGCAGGTGCACACTAGAGGGGAGAGAGGATGCCGAAGGGCAGAGGAAAAGTTTTATGTTTAAATTTTTCTTATCTTGTCTTGAAATGTGAATTTTTTTTCATCACAAATTAGCAGGATACTATTTGCTCAACTTTACTCATTCAATGCCACCTTCATGATGAACCAGGGCCCTGCTGCTGAGAGATGATATAAAGTCCATGAATCACTGCCGCCCCTCCGCAGCCATCCCACCCTTCGAGGAAGGACATTGTCCTCCTCCACTTTACTCTCTGCCGACAACAGCTCCTGTGGGTCCAAGTTTAGGTCACACACCCACAGGCTTTCTCTGCCAGGTGTATGAGTTAGGCCAGGCTCGGAAGCCATCCCCCTACCTCCATCCAGTCCGCTCTGGGGCCCTCTGCTCTTTGGCCAGGCCTTGGTCTGAGGTCGCTTGGGCGCACCAGAAGCCCAGTTCTCTGAGTAAACTTCTAG